AAGTTTCGAAATAATTAAACATCACCGGATCACCTCAGTAGTCCTTCGATAATATTTACATTCATATATATAGCCCTCGTGTTATACAGTACTGACTGTAACGTCGGAGAAATAAGTTGATATATGGTGAATTGACAAGTTGTTTATTTCTTCATAAATAAAATTTGAAATCAGCTTGATTATAAGAATTTGCTTATTCATAACAGTGTGCACGATAGTTGGCTGTTTATATTAGCTAGTTATTGAAGTGCAGTATTTAAGCCCGAAGATTGCTGTATAAACTCCTGTGATTAATTTCTAGTTCATGATTGTTATTGCTTGCAGATCATTAACAGTAGGTGATGTGATGAACAATATTTATTCTAAGGACATAGAAAATCGTGCAGATTTCGAGAAAGGTTTGTACAAAAGTTCCACTGAAAACCGCCATTCTCTATCCATTCAAATGATTGATCGACCTGATCTTCATCTGGCAGTGTCAGGCAAGACATGGTCCGTTATTCAGGAGCACTATCCTTGGCTGATACCCAAAGTAAGCTCTTTTTGAGAACTAACTAATATTACGTATCATTGTCTTTTGTGTCCAAACTGTTGAGTGTCTGGTTTTAGTTTTTCGCATGTGACCACAGATCTCATGTTAACAGATGTTCGAAATAATGTTTTAGTGACAAAAAATACTGGTCAATTAAGTAGCTGTAATCTGGTAGTTTTACACCGCTAGTAGACCTTCTAAAGTTAATGACAGTCCCAGGCCGGAGTAAACGAGGAGGTTTGAGCTTGGGGTCAACAACTCCACTCCGTAGGAATCACCTTGCTAAATGTATATTTATAATTATTCTTGTAAAATATTCACTATCGAGAGTAGATTTATTATGAGACAATTTTACCTTTGAAAACCAGTTACGGACACTGCAACTCAGTGATTCTGAATCCTGAATTCCATTAGTGGATGACTTTTGGTTTAAAGTACAATCGCTGTGACGAATACGGAGTGGAAATCGTCGCTGAACATAATCCAACCTGTTTGTCTTAAACGAATACACGACATATAATAAGGACAAAGTATTATTACTATTGGTCGGACACATTCTTTGTACATTAAAATACGTGGGTTAGTGTTATAGAGGTTACGTAGTATACAACTCGGAAGTCATTGAAACCTGCTTCTGAAAGTACAGATTGTGGGAATATCTGAGTCTTAAGTCTACCACAGTATTAAACCTAGATACGACCTTATTGTTTACGGTAAAGTCAAAATTGAAAAATAAATCACGACAATAAAGCTATCTACATTTAGCGGTTCTAGGTTCCATTTCGAGGATCACAGCGAAACGTTTTTGAGATCCATACGGATGGTTTGGCGTATGGCTAAGCTCATGAAAAGAACATGAACACATTACCATAAGATCGTCTGCATAAAGAAATTGTTTATCCATAGTGAAGTATTCTTACATATCGCTTATTTAAATTTTTTAAGAGAAGAAAACGTGATACACTACCTCGTGTTATACCACTTGTAACGACTTTATTCAACAATACGGTGTCTGTGACTGAGGAAATTATTGAGCCACACAAGTAAGAGTGTATGTGAGTTCATTTATAAAAAGTTGGTGGTAAATTATGCTGTAGGCTTTAGAAATGTCAAAACATAGTATTAAAACTAGTTGCTCAATGCTACATTCAGTGAAAACTGAGCTAAACAAATTAGGATAACTAGTGATGCAAGATCCAGTTCCACGGAAGCCATGTTGTGAATGAGTGTTGTGTTTTCCGGCGAATTAGTAGTCAGAAATTTCGTCACATACAATATTTTACATTATTCTTGGGATATCCGGGGTAATATTCACAGGCCGATACTCATCTTAGTCAGTCTTGTTTGTAGATTTGTAAGGAAGTATTGTGTTTGGTTTCCAACAGTTAGGACTAGTGCCCGTATCCAGAGGAACTATAAACAGTTTTAGAAGAAGCAGTGGAAGTAAACATGTAGAATTCCGTCAAATTGGTGACTTCTCGAAACCTTAAGGGATTGGAAGAGATACATCTCATGTGTGATTTCTTGTCCAAAGTTTTCTAGAGTCTTATTATTTATTACAACAATATCACTGAAAATGTTTGTGTCGGTTTTCGAATCTTTATAAAAGAACCATTATGGAAAATTCAAGGGAAATCTTAAGTTTGCGATAATCCTACACGTTTATTGAGTAGAATAACTAAGGTTTACTTCTTTTGAACCAACGTTAAGTGCTAACTACTCTTCAATATAGGCCTTTGAATTATGAATTTCTCAGACTTGGTTAGAAATTACAGCTAATTGTGCGGGTGAAAAACAATTCGACTTAAAGTAACTTTTCGAAAAAATCTTAGTTAGTTGCGTTACTTAGCTGTTATGAATAAGGCATTAGCTTTTCGCCGGTGCAATGGAATCGATTTGATAAAATATCTCGCACACGTACGAGACTATTTCTCGAGAAGTTATTCAAAAATGAACACTTCAACAAGGTTTGCATTAAGCCCACTTTGCACTTTATAGTCCCGATATTGACGTTTTCTTTTTAAGGAAAGGTTATCAGTAGGGTTAATATTAACGGGAAGAATACAGACAACCATTTTATTATCATTGCTTCCAAGTTCATTCCTAACTTGTACGGATGGGGGAATGGTATCTTGAAATAGAATTAGTTTGAGGATGTTAGCATGTCTTCCTGAGGTATGCACCTATCAAAACCAACAGTAGATATCTAGTATTGTTGAGAATTCCTCATTACTTGACGGACTTGTCACCAGTAAATCAGTTTATAATAGGATAGCTGAAGTCGCCTCCATGGCTCCCACATCAACATTTCAAATACAATGATGTATAAGTGCATTAACACTAAGATCATCCACAGTGGCTGAAGTGTCTGGGCTCTGTATACACAACTCACAAGTAGACTATGGATCGATGTATTGACCGAGATCCAAACTAATCTTAATAAACTGATGAGGATACTGTCTTAGGATATATTAGTTGTTGGAAATTTCAAACTCCTCCTAGAGCCCCTCTTAAGCTACTAGTTGTCCTCTTAAACATACAGGAGGTGAATTTGGCAAGAGTTTACCAAATTCATTCCTCAAAATAGTACCTTACTATAAAAAAACGCCAACCACGCAATCCAGGGTGAGCCATAGACAGCTACCCCCACGTTTTTCGATATAATCTTGAGACAGTAAATGCATATGATGTAAGTGTTCTTTATATTTAAAATCAGATTTTCAAGTCTGCAATTTATCATAATGACTAAGACATTCATTTCAAAGCCGAGTAATAAATACCTTGTGCACAACACTATGAAAATGTGTGCATTGTTCATGAAATGTTGGATAAACTTATCATCGATAATGTTAAATTTACAACAAATTACAGAAAGGATCCACGCACTTCAGCGAATGAATTGCTTGTTATGACCATTTGACTGATTTAAATTTATGCAGTCTTGATACCATTCTTCCAGCCACCAAAAATGAAACTTGGGTCATTAAATTAAATGGGGAATATTTCCTTAAATTTTTTAACTGTCATTCAAACTGAAATTATGTTAATTTCTCCGAATGCTATGCTAAAATACTAGTAATATTTTTTAAATTTTAGCTGGTTGTGAAAAGTACAGTGTTCGCTCGCTTTTCTCCAGAACAAAAAGCACAAGTGGTTGAAGCTCTTCAGTCAGTTGGTTACTTTGTTTCTATGTGTGGAGATGGTGCAAATGATTGTGGAGCTTTAAAAGTAGCTCATGCTGGGATTTCCTTAAGTGAAGCAGAAGCAAGTATTGCTAGTCCTTTTACATCAAAGAAACAAAATATAAGCTGTGTACCTATGCTTATAAAAGAGGGTCGTTGTGCTCTTGTAACAAGCTTTGGAATGTTCAAATTTATGGCTGGTTACTCCCTCATTCAATCGTTTTCCATAATGCTACTTTTTGTGGTAAGTTCATTTACAGATAAAATATTGTATTTCAACCCCTACTTTGTACTCTAGTCCATAAAACTGTTTCACAGTTTAGATTATCCTTAGATAATCCAAAATAGACCGGGGTATAACTTTTATTTTCATTGCTTTCTGATAATGTTCCGTTTTTGTTTCAGGTCGGTAGCAATTTTTCTCAGTGGCAATACTTACATTGTGATTTCGTCATAATTACAACGTTAGGTTTAACATGTGAGTTGTTATTTATTAAACTTAGTGTACCGTAGAAGTTCTTTATCATTTTACCTAGCTTCTCAAGACATTCTTAGTAGGCTTAAGTATTTTGTATCCATTATTCTGAAGTGATAATTATATTAAGTTCTCGTTGACTCAAGTGATTAAATTGATTATAAACCGATCATTCAATGAAAAGATTTCACCATCTTAATAAAGAAATGACTTTTGTATTTACCCGTGGCCTATATCAGCATTATGGAACTAGGTCGTCAAAATTCACAATTCGAGTTCAAATATGAACACTTATAAATGGGATACTTGATTTTAAATAGTTTCTAAAATGATTGATGTGACTGCACTCATCAATTATATCAATTCAAAAAATCCTAGAATACAAAACATCCTTACATCTAACTTAACATAGTAAAATACTAAATAAATTCATATTCAAAATATTCAAGACAATATGTCTTCAGAGGAAAATCGAAAGATTTCATCTCTGTTCTCGATATCGTTTGTCATTTTCGGAAACTATAATGTATGCGCTTCTAGTTAATGTTATCCTGTGAACCCTTTCAATTTACTTGCTCGTGTTGTGGGAAACACTCTAAAACGACTTTAAACATGCAAATAAACACTCAGCTGATGCGAAACGTTAAAGCGGTATTGAGAAGTGAAGTAAACATACCAATCTTATCAAAATTTCTGAGGTCGATTTAAATCCGGAAGTACAGTTGATGAGTTGTTTAGTCATTGTTATGAACTTTTTCAGCCTAAAGATTTGTTTTATTCTCTATTACTGGAGTTTGATTCAGCTCCAGTCAGCATGTACATTTTGTGTTTTCAATTTAAAAGTATGTTTTTAAAAAATATTTATAAAAATTAAGTGATTTGGAGCGAAATACAAAGTTTACATCAAGAATACCTGAAAAGTATCGTCATTTTAATCTTTCAGAATAGCCTTATATTTTGTTGTTAGTAATATCAATAGATTCCTAAGCAAACTTTTATATTCACAATATTCTTTATTTTAGTTTGTAATATTTTTTTGTACATATGCGCATACACTTTATGTTGTGGTGTGAGGAACCTAACTTTTATGCTGATGAAAGATAATTTCATGAATTTTGTTGCTGTTCCAACTTATTAGTTTGTAAATAATCACGATGTCATTGAGAATGACCTCAGTGTAAAATAGTACAAAAATGTTACAGCATACACTGAACACTAATATCACATATGTCGAAAGTAAAGTTTGTGAAGTTTTTAGAAGAACATCTACATTCTTTATAGCTGTTGGACAGTACATCCATTTAAAAAAAGTTCGGATATTGTCCTAATGTAATTTGTAATAATGAAGCTTATCATTCATTTAAATTACCGTTTCAATCCTCTCCATAATTAGTCGATGACCTAAATGGTGGTAAATTTCTTCTAGATGTTAATGGCTTTATCATAGGTTTATCGACTTTGCACAAAACTATTATTAAACGTTTCAGGCACCATACCTTTGTGCTTTAGTTGTTCAACCTAATTTGGTTTTAACAATATTAGTTTTAGTGATGTTTATAAAAAATTACATAACAGACTGTTTTCTTAATGTTTTCTAATTCCTGGTTGGATAAGAAAAACAAAGCTTTTTGGATGAACCCCCTCAATCATTTTGTCAAATAAATATATCTGATTGCGATAATTTAATTCTTTTCAATTGATTGACACACTCAAATAATGCAAAAATTTCGAATGATTTTCAAACTGATCATGTTTGTTGTGTTGAGTAAAGTACAGAATATGTGATCACAAACGAATATATTGACGAAGGAGCGATTTTTGTACAGTTCAATCAATAATTGACAATAAATCAACCGATGTTCTACAATCACTTATTTATTTTTCACATGCGTCTCAAGTTGTCGTTAGCAAAACATTTGTTGTTCCAGTATTCAGTCGTGCTTCATTTTGACTGCAATTGGTAATTTTGAATACGAAATTTTCACTTTTACGTTCTAAAGAATTCTTACTGCACTAAGTTTGGAAAGCATACTCTCACACTCTGACCTTGATGTTGTTCGTCCTAAAGTAAAAGATCCTGACAGCAAAACGATTGTTAATAACCAATGTGTTCGCTATCAATACCATCGTTTTCTATATTTACATATGTACTGTGTATATAATATCAAATAACAATCATTTTGTGTTTGCCTATATAAGTTGTTTAGGGTTTGCCTTGTTATGCAATTCGATAATTTTTTAAAGTAAATCCTATCTTGTTCTGCTGTTTTTTCCGTGTGTTTGCCATATTGCATATCATCACTACTGCTGTTTTTTCTCATTTTTTTGAATATGTATATTAAACCTGTACCTTGGCATTCACAGCTTTTGTTCTGCTAATACTAACTAAAGTTTCCTTGTTTTCTCTTTTTTCAATATTCTCTGTACTGCCTGCATGGAACTATTCATTACTTCAATTTTCGTTAGGGTTCAGCAATAATTGACGTGTTGAAGTTATTGTCTTTTTAATTTTTCCATTTACTCTGTATAGTGTTTTCCTCTTCGTCTAGTAGGTCTTGTAAACTTTGAAGCTTATTACTAAAATCCATCTTGGACTGATTCAGCTTGCTGTCATGGTAAAGAGAGATTGCATTAAACCTTTATTGTGCTGCTTCTTCAACTGTCCAACGCTTCTTAGCCTCAGATTTGTCCGACTACCCCCAGGTTCCATCTCAAACTACATCAGATCCTGTCTTTGTTCGTACGCCTTCCATGGATCTTTTTAATGTTTTATTGATTCAGGTGTGATCGGGTTGGTTTTCTGTAGTGTTGTTCGGTAAAACTTATATATATATATATATATATATATATATATATATATATATATATATATATATATATATATATATATATATATATGTTTGTGGAGAAAAATAATTCAAAATTATTGAAAGTACATAGATTTACTAGTATGTCACCATTCTCGTTCCTTTCTCCGTGTACATTTCGCCTCATGATGCGTTCGTAACCGATGTTCTCCACCCTGACCTTGAGGTTTAGTTCCCTCGTGATGATAGATAGCTGTCAAAAAAGGCATCGACTTCGCCATTTTAAAACATTTCGGCTTCACTAATGAGCTGTTATAACTCTTCTGTATGAAGAAACCTCAACTCTCAGGGCGAAACTAAAATGGTTTAAACAAATTTTTCTGTTTAGCGTTTCTTCACGAACTAGGATTACCAGTCGTGTACCCAACCGCCTTTAACTGGAATTGGACCGGCAGTAACCGTAGACGGCCTCCAGGCAAAGTTTGACTAATTTAAAGTGGTTTGATATTATTATTACTGACGAGTCGTTATACATAAAAGAAGCATACCTTCCTCAAGACGTATTTGTTTGATACATGTGAACAGAAAATATTTTTAAGGAGCTACTCACATTTACTTACTGACATTTCATCATTTTCTTAAAAACTAAATATAACATCTTTAACTCACAGCTGCATATGGGCTTGCATATTACAGTAGTTCTAACTGTATTCAGAAGTTTTAGATATGAAGCTTAAGTTTTCTAAACCATTCTTTTGAAATAATTGCGTTGACTAAGTCACATGTATATTTCGTATCACACTATACTAACTGTCGAATCCTTCATGCATTGGCTGAAACAATGAACTCTAGTCAAAATATTTTAACCAATTAGCTTAAAATGAATTTTTGCTTGATCTAATGTTGAGGTTAACTTTGCAAGTTGCTTAAATGGCAAAACAGTAGAAATAACTTCGTATCAAATATACTTTTAAACTTCACGTTAAACTTGAACTAATTATCAGCCTTAGGGTTGATTCATTGTTTATGAAGAATTTCAATGATATGGCTTGCGCCATGAAACCTTAATTGGAAATAGAAAGTATAATTATGTTTTCAAGAAAAAACCCAATTTCA